GGGGAAGGCCAAGGAACACACTACGCCGAGAAATAGAGAAAGATATGAGAGGAATGAATAAACATTGGACAGAATAGGAGAGGGAAGCCCAGGACAGAGTTGGTTGGAGAAAACTGGTGGGCGGCCTATGGTCGATTGGGGGTAACAGGCTTAAGTAAGTAGTAAGTAAGTAGCAACAGTTCAATTCTGACTAAAAACTCACTATATTTCGACCGATTAATTTGATATTTAGTAATGATTTCAATTATATTGGCAGTTTTCTTGTAGTGAACGAGAACACAGGTGAGGGCAACCGAATTGTATTTAACGAAAATTACAGAGTTACTCAGTAAAATTGGAAAACCATATCGTAAATTGTTCATTTGCAAAATATCAGTCCATCATCATATCGAACTGGACTGTTCCTGTTGCAAAACATCAATCCATTGTCATTATTCATGCATTTCATACAAATTCCATTGTGTTCTAACTCTTCGTTTCTTGATCTTCCCCCATCTTCTGCTGCCAGACATTAGGTTGACACTCACGTCATATACTACTTATAAATAGCTCACACCACAATTTAACTAGTACTGAAATCATTGATCAATCATTGTTAGACCGTCATTAGAATCATGAATGCACTGAAAGACGGCTGTTTTGTCCTGGTGTGGGATCCAACAGTAGCAGTATGCATCCACGACTCCTCCTACTCATAGGATTCGAACCAAGGGTCTTCGGTCTTGTGCGCGAATACCTGACCTCCGGATCTTTGGGCTAGGCGGCATCCGACGGTGTTAATGTCTACGAGTAGCAGAAACCACTGGTGAGTCCCATACCAGGACGAAACAGCCGTCTTTCAGTGCTTTCAGGATTTTAATGATTGTCTAATAATGATTGATTCATAATTTCAGTAATAAACAATCATCTTCATAACTCTATCATGAAATATCTAAGCAGTGCACAACTCAAACTCTAAGTAAAAACAGATTGACACTCAAACAACTAGAAATTCATGTTAACATATTATTCTTGTCTAACTATATGTTTATAAGTGTGTTGAGTATCGTTGGGATGATGAAATGGTCATTGTTTAGCTAAACATAAAGAAATATGGAAGTACTGGACAACCATTACGTCCAAGTATGGGACAATTCATAATGAAAATCATGAAAATGTGCTTATTACTCACTAGCCTCGTAAGTAAGTTCTCCGAGTTCTGAAGAGAAGCCATAATCAGTGGAGTTTAACCCTGTCAAGTGTAGGCACTTATTACCTACCGAAAACAATGTGTGAAGTTGAGCAATAACTTGCTTGGATTGATCAAAGTTAGACATTAACACTGTTATATGTTGGCTCAGAAGTCCGAAGGTTATGCATTCATACGCGAGAAAACTAAGCTACTTGGTTCGATTCCCTTGAGTGGGAGTCGTGGAGTCACATATCTGATAAGTCCCATACTAGGAGAAGACGGCCATCCAATGCTTCCAGATTCTTAGTGGTGGTCTAACAACGAACGATTCCCGATTTCTGACAGTTACTCTAAACTTATGAAAAACTATTTCAAGAATAAGCTTCGTAATCAGAAATAATACAGAACAGATTGTTGTTTTTCTTCTAACCTTTAATTTCATGATATACTATATATGTGCATTCTGATCACCAGTGAAGTTCAACTGTTCCGAGTGTGACACAGTTAACTACTAATGATAATCGATGAGGTCGAGCAATATTGAAGTTAAACATAAATACTGTTGGATACCGGCCAGCTCAGAGATCAAGAGATTATGCATTCATGCACGAGACCAAAGGTTCTGGTTCTAATCATGGAGTGTGGGGTTCGTGGATGCTCACTGCTGATAAGTTCTAGTGCTTGTTCATTTCCAGTAGTGGTCATTTACTGACTGAATAGATCAATAATGACATCTAAGACATTAAAAACGGGTAATTCAGATTGAAATCTTATATTTCACAAAACAAAGGTACAACGTTGCTTACTCACTAACTTCAACGTCGATATTACATCTCAACACAGTGTGCAATATATCAAAAAACGGTTACAGCAGTAACTAGATTTTAACTTGTTCAGCACTATGAATTGAACAAACATGACAGTGACTACATCCTTAAGTAAATAATCAATTTACATGTTTGTCAAAGTGAAATTTCTATCAAATAAACAAACTGAAAATAGTACACGAAAATTTTCTTTAAAATGTAACATAATTTGTAAAACTGTTATGTTGGTCACTAGGTATGCTAGGAACTATTACGGGTTCACCTTAGTCGATAAACTAGAACGAGACAATGAACCAGCGTCCATGTAGGCTACTATGATCCGAAACGGCTAAAGAGAAGTCTTGATCTAGCGTAGATATTGTATTCTACAAACACTCAGCAAGTACAATACAATCAAGTATACAAATCTAGTTTATTTATACATGATAGAAACGTCCTAGTGGGACAGTCACAAAAATTGCACACTAGAATAACACAGTAACCAATCACAACCAAGGATTTTCCTGGTGGGAAATTAAATCTCAAGGTCAACTGATCAGCCCATGCTCGTAAACGTGAAATCCTAAATAAGACATTCAAAAAGCGAGTTCTGAGGACCTATTAAGCAATTTGTTAGGCATAAACATAAAACTCATAAATTCTGCAACAAACATATCAGTTTAAAGCTTCTAAATCAGTTCTCGAAAACATTAGATTTAACTTCTAAATACATTTTATAAAAGTTTAATCATTCAATTCACAATCATATAAATTCACCCTTAATTAGCAAGAGTAATTTTATATTGGTTTTGAGGAGAACCAGAGACTGCCTACGTGTTAAAAATAGAACGTGAATAGTAAAACTCAATCATGTGGCGCAACTACACAGATGGTACCTGATACCTTGGTGGACTAATCACACTATTGATATACACCAATAAATATAGTGATTATTTCTGATCCATGATCGCATCGTCAATCAATATGCACAGCATGAACAGGCCAATTCCACTCATCGCACTTACATGACTGTCAAAGTAATTATTGTTAGCAATCGAGGTATACAATACAGCACCCGAATGACCATGGCCCTCGGGAATGTGGTAAGACTGTTGGGGAAGTTAGATCCCCAGAACTCGCTTGATAAATGCCTTATCATGGATTTCACGTTTGCGAGCATGGGCTGATCAGTTGACCTTGAGATTTCGTTTTCCACCAGGAGAATCCTTGGTTGTGATTGGCGGCTGTGTATTTTAGTTTGCTATTTTCGTAACTGTCCCAACGATGTTTCTATTGTGTGTAATTAAACGAGAGTTGTATGCTTGATTGTATTGTGTGATTGCTGGGTGTTTGTAGAATATACTTTCTACGCTTACCAAGACTTCTGTTTTACAGTTTGGGGTTCTAGGTAGCCTACCTGGACGCTGGTAATTGTCTCGTTCGCGTTTATCGACTAAAGTGAATTCGTAATAGCTTCAAGCGTACCTAGTGACGAACATAACAAAGACAACCACCAGTAATAATGAAATCGGTTGCCCTGTACACAAAAGTTTGTTTATGGACTATAATCAAAACTTGTCAAAGTAATGCTGACCCATCTACACTGTTCACAAGGAACTTCTGGTCTCGTAGGAAACTGTCAGCTCTATACAACAATAAAGCTTATGGTCTATACATCGTACAATTATATAAAATTAGGTAAACGTTATTGAATTATTAGTCATGCTTATTACATATTTCAGCACTTTTTTTCTACAAAATGAGTTCGCTGACCGCATGCCCACACCTGCTCCTTCATCTAGGCTTAGTACCGGTAGTAATCCCTGAAGGGCTCCATCAGGAGGAAGATATATACAGTAATTAGGTAGCGATCGGAAAGATTGATCCAGGAGAGGTCTAAGTAAGTAAGTAAGCAAGCAAATAAGTGAGTAAATGAGTAATTAATTAATTAAGTAAGTAAGTAAGTTAGCCAATGAACATAACTTGAAAAAATTTAATCACTGAAACTAACCTGTACATCTAATGGAAAATCATTTAATTCCAGCGTTTCTAAAAATACACCTTTAATACGTCTACGTTCCATCAAGTAAACTTCACCATTCTCACTACGTATAGCCATTATCCATTGTGTATCTTTAGTTTCATTTAATATATTATCAATGTATAATAAAGGATTCCAATATTGTTCTAATTCAGTGATACTTAACTCCTAAAGAGAGGGAGAGAGAGTGGGAAAAAAGGCACATATTGAACAGATTGAAATTTATCGCAGGTAATTTGAAGAGAGAAAGAAAATCAATATTCAATAATCAATTTTTCACATTCAGTAATGAATATTTAATATTGAACGAAGAAAGGAATAAACATTTGGAGCAGAAAACAAATATCAGCCAATATCAAAGTTAGAAGGTTGACAAATAGGCAAGCTATCATTCACAAGATTCTGAGGCTCCATTGGACAGATACCATTAAAAACAAAACCTACTGTAGGAGAGAACAAACCAGATTCCAGTTGAAGAAGGAATTAGAGAAAAGTACTGGAGGTGGATAAGACATACATTGCGTAAATCATCCAGCTGCATTTTGAGAGATATATCCTTCCATGCAATCCTCAAGGTTGAAAGGAAAGTAGTAGGCCGAAGGACATATCAAACAAATATCAACAGAACTAATAGCAGCAATTGTGAGGAATTGAGAAGACGAGAAGCTGAGAATCGAGTTAGTTAAAGTTTCGTACTGAGCGATATTTATTACTTCATGAAGGATAACAGGCGTGAGTGTAATTCATTCATTTTCAATAAATACTGACTAATTCACAGAAATTAATTTTACCTGGAAAATGATCATTATTGTATAAATGTACAACTTTCTGAAGATATTAATAGAACGATACAGATATAAGTGGACAATATTGCTGTTTTCACGATTAGATCGTTATGAGGCTGCTAGACTCTAATATATACATGAATATTTACATATGAAAATGTTTAACCAATCAAGGCAATTTAGTGTGAGTCAATCATCACAATGAAATGAAATAGAGATGACGGCACTACACCTCTAATAGGCAAAAGTACAAGTTGATAGTAGGAAGACAGAGGTGTACTAATAGAAGTAGTAGTGTAGTGAACGAGAACACAGGTGAGGGCAACAGTGATTGTTACTCAGTAAAATAGGAAAACCATATCGTGAACGGTTAATTTGCAAATCTTCAATCCATCATCAACCCATCGTCTGACATTTCACTATTCATGCGTTTCATACAAATTCCATTGTGTTCCCACTCTTCTTCCTTTCTTGATCTTCCCCCATCTTCTGCTGCCAGACATTACGTTGACGCTCACGTCATATACTGCTTATAAGTAGCGCGCACCACAATAGTAGTAGTAAGAGTAAGATAACAAATGTTTTTATCAATAGTTCAAAATTTAAGGTAGTGGATAAATTGACTTACAATAATCATAATACAAAACATTGAAACAACTACACAATCAGAAGTGTGTTCATAATTAGATACTGAAGAAAATAAACGAGAAGAGGAGGAGAATTACCAACTAATTTAAACAAAAAGAAAAGTTTAAATCTTAAATCGTTAGTTACGTGAAATCCGCGGCCACGGAAAAGAGATGGGAGTGACACGCATTTCTTTTGAACACACATAAATTGAGGTTGAATGCACGTACGAATTCCTATGGCTTCTGCTTATATGTAGGAGACGGGATCGAACTCTGTTGGGAAATGTTGGAGGTATATGATAGATAACTCGAAAAGATCTAGATTAATCTACAATGTGACCACTATCTACCAGATGTGCTCGGATAGAACTGCCTCTTGTTCTTGACTGACCCTTCACTCATTCATTGGTTAAGTTGCTCGGTAGTACGCACGATATAGTTATCTCCACAGGAGCAACTGAATTTGTAAACGCACATTACCAAGACCAACTCACGGAACTTATCCTTTGTTTGGGCAGACATCGCTGTTCGACTTGAGAAGGTCAACGCAATTTTTCGGATGCGTTGAATGTTCTACTAATTACTCCTCTCATTAATCGGTCCTGCAGAGTATCGTAGGCCACATCTCCATTGAATTGTAATTTGATAAATAACGACTTCTTACAATTGCTTGAACTGTTCAGCTTCTTTTTTAGACTGTACATATACACTTCTCTTTAAGAATGCACTACGGTAGCCGATTTCAATTAGTGAGCTTTGGATAAATTCCAGCTCCTAACTTAACTAGTATCCACTGAACAGATCAGCTTTTGCTCTGCTAGTGAGACATCAAACCGAGTTTCTTTTGAAGTGGATAGGTGTAAAACTACTTGTAACTACACTACACTTACCAATATCAATCAATTTTATTTTCAAATTGATTTGTAATTTAGAGATAAATCTAAATCGTTACTATTTCAAGTATCAATTCAATTATTCATTGAACTTACTTCAGCTGTATGTCCATCAAGTTTCGGTTCTCTCCATTTAGCTTGTAGAAATGCATCAGCATAATATAATTCTTTCAATGTGTCAATTTCACCAATTTTCAAAAATACAACACGTACTTCAACAGCAACCTGATTTAATGAATAAATAAGGAAGGGAAATAGAAAAATACCATAATCTAGAGAAAAATAGTAAAGAAATCTTACATTACTGATTATTATTATTATTATTATTAATATTATTATTTGCATTACGGGGTTGTGAAGATTTTTAAGTTACATATTTTTGAAACCATGAATCGATCAATGTTAGACCACCACCATTAGAAGAAACCTGGAAGCACTGAAAGACGGCCGTCTAGTCCTGGTATGGGACTCCTCAGTAGTGCGCATCCACGACTCCTGCACCCCACAGTATTCGAACCAAGGACCTTCGGTATTGTGCGCGATCGCCTAACCACCAGACCACTGAGCCGGTATCTAACGGTGTTAATGTCTAACTTGATCAATTCACGGAGTTGCGCAATATCGAAGATCCTGGGTTCGAATCCTGTGGGGTGCAGGAGTCGTGGATGTGCGCACTGCTGATGAGTAGTTTCATACCAGCGGACTAAACGGCCGTCTTTCAGTGATTCCCGGTCATCTAACGGTGGTGGTCTAACACTGATCGATTCATGGTTTCAAAAATGTATCAATGCTATTATTATTGTTATTATAACTGTCTATAAATAAACTATTGTACATATACATATATATGCCTAGATTAGATGGATAATTATCGATTTTTCCTCAATTGATGTAAACAGTACTTAGTTATCTTTCTCTCTCTCTCTCTCTATTCTATTATCATGAATATAATATGAAAAATGCATCAAAAAACTATAAAACTGAAAAAAATACAGTTTTACAAAATAAAAACATTTATATTGCAAAACTGGTTGGTTAGAGGAAGATAAGTGAAAATTATGCGCTGCAATGAAGTTGTATTTTAGTTTGTGCAAGCAAAAAAGGACAATTCACTAATCAAATCTGAATCGATTTTTTGGTGAAATCGCGTAAAGGATTTCAAGACTAGCTAGCAGAATTACGCGTGAAGCATATAAATGGAAACATTCAAGTAGTTTATTCCTATCGACAGATTTTGTTGATACAGCGTATGCGTCGACCAACTACCATCAACAACAAACTATTGGGAGAGAGGAAAAACCAAATTTCAGACGAAAGAAGAAATTAGGATACACATTGTACAAATCACTTAGTTGCGTCACAAGACAACCTCTCACTTGAAATACTGAAGGTCAAAGGAAACGAGAGTGATTGAATAACACTTTACGCCAAGAAATGGAGACAAACATAAGAAGAATGAATACCAATTGGACAGAACTAGAAAAGAACAGTAAAAACAGAGTAGATTGGAAAATGCTGATCAGCGACCTATGTTCGGATGAGAGTAACAGGCGTATGTAAGTAAATTGTATGGTATCACGATGTGAAATTTATGCTTGTCATTGTATTATCAAGGTGGTTTCCACGAGACTAAAGGAAACGAGGAATTAGAAGCAGACATGAAAAGAATGAACAGTAGTTGTGTAGAAAGAACTTAAAAGCTCGGTCCAGGGCTATGCCGGTTAAAGAATGGTAGTCGGCGGCCTATGCTTCATTAGAGGCCACAGGCTTAAGTAAGCAAGTAAGATATAGTAGCGATAGCAATAAAATTCAAAACAATTTAACGGCTAAAATTATCAAATGCAACTTTTTCAAAAAGTTTCAAAATAGTATAAAATTACAACCGATCATTAGATGGTCGATCACATTGAAAACTGTCTAGTTATAAGTTGATCATCCAACTTCTACATCAGCTACTGAAGTTTATTATTTCGAAATTCTTAAGCAGATACATACCGACTGTGGTACATTGTGTACAACAATCTAAGTATTCTTCATAACAAATTGTGTAAAAAATTTATAAAACGTCTTTTTAGTACATGGCAGTACAGACCAAAATAACGATTCTTGATTAAAGAATACCTTATTTCTCATATAAAGAAATAGTTAACACTGAATTAATCAAATATACTGTGGTGCGCGCTACTTATAAGTAGTATATGACGTGATTGTAAACGTAATGTCTGGCAGCAGAAAATGGGTGAAGATCAAGAAAGGAAGAGTTAGAACACAATGGAATTTGTATGAAACGCATGAATAGTGAAATGTCAGACAATGGATTGATGATGGATTAAAGATGTGCAAATGAACGATTAACGATATGGTTTCCCGATGATTTTACTGAGTAACTCTGTAATTTGCGATAAATACAATTCGGTTGTCCTCACCTGTGTTCTCCTTCACTACTATACTACTATGTTTAACGCTGTGCATATGCTGAGTCAATAAGCGAGTCTTCTGATTGAAGGTCAACCAACTCCTGAGAGGTTATATGACGAAAGTGTCATAACTAAAAGCACATTAATGACAAAGTTCAACAAGAATGAAGAAAGTGGACATTCCAGACGAACACAACTTGAAGTAATCAATTTCGACGACAGTTAGCCATAAGCTCTAACTCGACCAATAGTGTTCAAGTAGAAAGTTTGTACAGGGTTAATGTACTTCTATGGTACATCTTTCAATGACAGACACTACCACAGAACCTCATGATCAACAGATTCAAATACCACTTTAACATCCAGGAAGACAACTTTATTTAGTGGGACGCCTAAATGTGTGTCTGTGTTCCAGAATCCGTCAAAGTGTGAATTTGTAGTGTATACATCCACGTCCAAGTCTAAAACAAGATTGGTTTTCTTGAGTCTGTTCTTCATGATCATTAGTTAGGTGTCTATTTCTTATCGAGGCTGACATTTTAGACACTATATTAGTTAAAGTGATCCCTCTGTGATTGTCAGGAGAATAATGTACAGACATTTCAATCAATAATAGAACTTCTTTACAGCGCTCATACATGATGCTGTGTATAATCAAAACATTTTATTCATTTATAACATTTCAGTCAGTCAGTCAGTTGCAACGTAGAACTTCGTACGTATGTACATAAGTTCATGTTGCCATACCACATTAGCACAGAGACACAGATGTCAAATCAAATCCCATAGTGTTAAAGAAAGTGGAGGTATTAATGGTAATGGATAAGACTAGGGTTTGAAGATATTATTCAAGTATAATTCAGTGAGATGAGGTTAGAATGACAAAGGTACAGGTGCTGACGAATTCAGGAGATTAGGATTTGAGAGAGCTCAACGAATGGATGCACTTGCGCCATTGCAAACGACTTTGAGCCATGTCGTTCAAGGTCTCTAACCATTGGTGACTATCGTCTCGCGGCCCATAATCAGGTAATCTACATCCACAAACATGACTCAGTCCACTAGTCAATGACTTCATGGATTTGTGCCATGTTTTGGTCTGCCCGCCCTTAGCTTTCTTCCAATCTACTCCTACACTGCAAAACATAACTCGTCGAGGCAGTCGGTGGTTAGGCATACGTAACACATGTCCCAACCACCTCAACTGATGAAGTTTCATTACTTCATCGATTGATCTGCCATTCTTACCTAGTAGTCGTTTCCTAAGGACAGCATGGTTTACTCGGTTGTCCCACGGTATACGAGCAATGCTTCGAAGACACCTATGATCGAAAACCAGTAACCTACGAATATCTTCTACTCTCATTGGCCATGTTTCACAGCCATATAGGAGAACGGAGCGAACTGATACACAGTACACTCATCTTTTGGTTAGAGAACGGATATCACGCCTACGCCATAAGTGACGCAGGTTGGCAAAAGCCAATCAAGCCTTCTGTATCCGAGCCGAGATTTCGTCAGCCACCAGGCTATCAGCGCTGATAAGACTCCCCAGATAAGTGAAGCGGTCAACACGCTCGACTACTTCACTCCCTATCACTAGTTCAGGTGCCGATGCAACCCAATCTCTAAGCAACATTTTGCATTTCGAGGGTGAAAACCGCATCCCGAACATGCTTGCATTGTTGCTTATGGTAGTCAGAAGACTCTGCATTTTGTCAGCGTCTTCACAGAATAGAACTATGTCATCGGCATATTCTAGATCAGTAAGCGACTTTCCTGGTAGAAGGTCAATCCCTGAAAAATCTGACTGGCTTAATGATAACTCTAAGGGGATGTCTGCGACAAAGTTAAACAAGAATAGAGAGAGTGGACAGCCTTGACGGAAAACATTTATAACATTTAGTATTGATTGAAACAAGTGAATTAGACAAACAGATTCTCTTTCATTCAAACTAAACTGTAACTGGAATGTATCTTCTAATTTATATTTTTAAAAAAGATGAAATTACTAAGTCACTTTTGGGATATAATGCATCTTGAACGAATAACTCAGATATTTTCAGATATTTAGAAAGAAATATGTTATGCTCGTTATTAGGTATGCTTGAAACTATTACATGTTCACCTTAGTCGATAAACTAGAACCAGGCAATGAACTATTGACATGTTATGCTACTCTGATCGGTTGCTCCGAAGGAACTAACGAAGAAGTCTTGATATAGCGAGGAAAACGTATTCTACAAACACCTAGGAAACCTAATGATCTCAGTCACATAAATCGCGTTTATTTATACATCATAGAAACAGCCTTGGGACAGTCACAAAAATAGCACACTAAAATACACAGCAGCCAATCACAGCCAAGGATTTTCCTGGAGGGAAATATGATCTCAAGGTCAAATGGCTAGTGCATGAATAAAATCCAAAATTAAGACAATTATGGCGCAATTTGTTTGGATTTAGCATCACCGACAAACTTTCATGAAAACACTTGTGAACATCTGATCATTTGAGAGCGATCCGCTCAGAGTCTACATGAGCCCAAAGGTAACTAATCAGTTGGAATTTTTAACATAAGCAGGATGTGACATATATTTGCAATGACAATTTATCCCTGTCGCATGATCCAGTGTCCATTTACTTTCTTTAGATTACACAATGACATTTTAGTGCACAAGGTACTATTGTGGTGCGAGCTACTTATAAGTAGTATGTGACGTGAGTGAAAACGTAATGTCTGGCAGCAGAAGATGGGAGAAGATCAAGAAAGGAAGAGTTAGAACACAATGGAATTTGTATGAAACGAACGCATGAATAGTGACAATGGATTGATGTTTTGCAACAGGAACAGTCCAGTTCGATATGATGAACTGATATTTTGCAAATGAACAATTTACGATATGGTATTCCGATTTTACTGGGTAACTCTGTAATTTTCGTTAAATACAATTCGGTTGTCCCACCTGTGTTCTCGTTCGCTACACTATGTTCCAGTACCTGTGTAAACATCAATATAATAAGATACAGATATATACGTCGAGACGCGGAAACACATGAGAAAAATGAACAACAGTTGGACAGAATAGAGTAGGTTGGAGAATGTTGATCAACGGCCAATGCTCCATCGGAGGTAACAAGCCAAAGTCAGTAAGTAAGTAAGTAAGCAAGTAATAAGTGTCAAATGCATGGTTTCAAAAATTTGCAACTTACCAATCTTCACAACCCCTGTAATGAAAATGCTATAAGACATAATTCTGAAATTCCACTACTAACCTACTTATTATCCAACTTGGCAAAATACAAACTAATTTAACATTGAATGGGAATTCAAATTGTAAATTCAATTAAAACAAAGAAATTCAATTATCAACAATTATGCAAAAACAGTGAAATTAGTGATTTTTGAAGAGCTAAAAAAACGGAAAGTACTTTTAATCTCAACTCTTCTTGTACGACGAGTTTGTCTGTTATGATTACAAGGAATTGAAACGTGTTTTATTTTCTTTTCTTTGTTTTAAAGTTTCCAAAATTTCAAAAAGAAATTAACAAGTTTTTTCTTGGTTTTTTTTGTTTCAATCATAAAATATAGTTGTTTTTTTTAAAAAAATTTTACATGAATGTAAAAGTAGGCGTATCGTTCTTTTTTTCAGAAAAATTTTCGTTAAAATCCAAATTTACGCGAGTTTACATTTTTGTGATGTAGGATCCAAACTGAGGTTTGGACTGAAGGTAGTAGTTTATTAGATAGGAGTCTCGCCCAGTTGAAAATCAAAACGAGTGATCTGGGTAATTGAGAGGTTCTAAACAAATATTACCACTTAGTTATCCCACCAACAATTGTTCAATTAATCAAATCAACAGCAACAGATAACTGATATTCTATCCCTTCTGGATAGATTAGATTCCTGGAAGCACTGGACGGCCGTTTCGTCCTGTTATGGGACTAATTCATCAGCAGTGCGCGCATCCACGACTCCTGCACCTCGCAGGATTAGAACCCGGCATCCGACGGTGTTGATAAATCCTATACCAGAACGAAACGGCCGTCCAGTGCTTTCACGTTTCTAAAGGTAGTCTAACAATGATTGATTGATGATTTCAAATGTGTAAAAACACAAAACCTTCCAAACTCTGCCCGAAAGATGAGATTCCGTCGAAAGATAATATTTGGTGGACTTATTACACAGTGTTTCCAATTCTGGAAGAGTGCTTGAATTCACAATCAAAATGCACACTTCTAGTCAGCAGCGAGCAATCCAATCAAAAGAGGAACAAATCAATATGGCTGTCGCCATGACTAAGTATCAGCTTAAACGACATGAATGCACTTCAGAAAGAAATAAAGAAACTCAGTCAAGGCAAAAGAAATAGAAACTATGATAATAAAATACAAATATCACCATCTCGAAATGGAATCGAACAGGTTTAAAAAAATGTACAACTGAAGGAATCAATAAGAGCGAATTACAAATGTATACCATGGAGAGGGATTTTCACAAATGAAGCCTTCAAAAAAATGGATCTTACACTCATGTTGATCAAATGAATAACATATAAACTTAATGAGAAAATGTCATTCCAGCTTGGTTATAAAAAGTTTTCTTTTCATTTACATATAAGTAAGTAACGTTCGTGCTCATATGTACGATTATATCTTGGATTTAATACATGAATTGAGTTTAGCGATTATTACTTACTAACTCATACACGTTATCCTTAATGGAACATACACCACCGACCAGCATTCTCCAACCACCTACTCTGTCCTAAACCTTCCTTCCCACTTCTAACCAATTGCTGTTCGTTATTTTTTATGTATGTTTCCGATTCTCGGGTGCATTGTGTGTGTTCTTTGGTCTTCCACTTTCCCTTTGACCTTAAGGATTCCATGTGAGGACTTGTCTTGTGATGCGCAGTTGGGTGCTTTCCGCAATAATTGTCCTATCCACCTCTAGCGCTTTTTTCTGCTTTCTTCCTCCACTGGAATCTGGTTTGTTCTCTCCCACAGTGGGTTGTTACTGATTGTGTCTGGCTAACGGATCTTAAGTAATTTATGTAGACAATTGTTGATAAATACATGTGGATGATTTATTCTATAGATTTCGATAAACAGATATCATACACCCATATTGGGATAAACGATTTATTTGAAGAAGACTCAATTCTTAGCTGTCTTCTTCCATATATCATCTAGCCTTCAAAACACCTGCATCGTGCACTACATTCGTATCTGTTATTCTTCAGTTCAGCAGTAACTTGATGACAACAATCAGCTGTATATTTATACGGCATACTATTTATAAGTTTCATTGTAAGTTGTACACCCCACTTGATCAGCTCCTAGATGAATTTAGTGTTTAAATGATTCTTTATTGACATCTCAGTAAATTACAATGTTTGTATTGGAAATCAAATAGGGCGAGGGATGTTATGGACTGCGAATATACTGAGATACTATCGTTTTCTAAATTCAAGTATTTTTACACGTTGAAATCATCAATCAGTTAATGTGAGACCACCCACTGGAAAGCTGGAATCACTGGACGGTCGATTCGTCCTAGTATAGGACTTATCAACAGTGCACATACATGACTCCTACTGCTTGCAGAATGTTAGTTATTTCCATAACTAATTGTAGTTATGCTATAATTAACCAATCAAATTTTAGTTTTTAGCGTTCATCATGTGACCTGATCTGACGTGCCTGTAAACTAACTTTATTGTAAATGACTTACTAATTGAAGAACATTGTTGTCTTATTATTATTAATGTGACTCATAGTTTTATTTATTTCCATAAGACACACTATATTGGTCGGTATGTTTGAGCTCATCTTACTTGATAATTGTAATTTCCTTATTTATTGTACTGATCGAACTGTTTTTAGGCTTAGAAACAGATAAAGTTTAAAACCGAATTGGTCTTATGTGTGACTATAGCTTTCTTACAGACTATGTACTTACTTACTTACGCCTGTTACCCCCAACGGAACATAGGCCGCCCACCAGTTTTCTCCAACCAACTCTGTCCTGGGCTTCCTTCTCCAATTCTGTCCAATGTTTATTCATTCTTCTCATATCTTTCTCTATTTCTCGGCGTAGTGTGTTCCTTGGCATTCCACTTTTCATTTTGCCCTGAGGGTTCCAAGTGAGGGCTTGTCACTTGACGCAGTTAGGTGCTTTCCGCAATGTGTGTCCTATCCACTCCCACCGCTTCATCCTGATTTCCAACTCCACTGAAATCTGGTTTGTTTTCTCCCACAGTTCGTTGTTGTTGATGGTGTCTGGTCAACGAATCAGAAGTATTTTGCGTAGACAACTGTTGATAAACACTTGTATCTTCTGGATGATGCCTTTCGTAGTTCTTCAAGTTTCCGCTCCATACAGTAGAACTGTCTTCACATTTGTATTAAAAATGCTGATTTTGGTTTTGGTTGAAAGTTGTTTGGAGTTCCAGATATTTTTCAACCGTAGAAATGCAGCCCTTGCTTTGCCAATCCGTGCCCTCACATCTGCATCGTGTCCACCTTGATTGTCGATGATGCAGCCCAGATAGGTAAAGGTGTTAATGTCCCCCAAGACATCTCCATCAAGATTGATTTGGTTGGTGCATGTTGTGTTGCATCGGAGAATTTCGCTTTTTCCTTTATTTATGTTGAGACCTACTGCTGCTGCAGAGGCTGCTGCTACACTGGTCGTCTTCTCTTGCATTTGTTGTTGCGTGTGCGATAGAAGAGCCAGGTTATCTGCGAAGTCCAGATCGTCCAGCTGCGTCCTAACTGTCCACTGAATACCGTGCTTCCCTCCAGATGTTGACGTCTTCATAATCCAGTCGATGACCAGGAGAAAGAGAAAGGTTGAGAGTAATCAACCTTGCCTCTCACCGGTCTTCACCTCGAAAGAGTCTGTCAGCTGTCCTTCGTGTACGATTTTGCAGTTGAATCCATCATAATAATTCCGTATGATGTTAACTATTTTCTCAGGCACACCGTAGTGTCAAAGAGACTATGCGCTCGCCAATATTGCGTTTACAGTTCTAGAAGTACATCTGTATGGACAAATTAAATCCTACACAGAATTTAAACCCGGGACCTTCGATCATGCGCTAGCGAACGCCTAATCTCTGGATCACTGAGCCGGCATCCAATGGTGTTATTGTCTAACTCTGATCAATCTCAAGATTTTTCCATGACTTCACCTATTTGTCTATAATAGTTACTGCCTACACCCGACATGGTTGAACTCCACTGGTCCCGTCTTCTCACTAATTCTCATTAATTCTCATTCGTATAAACAAACCTTACTGAAAATTCCATAAAGTAATCGTGTTTTCTTCATTCATATAAAATAAATTAAAATATTCTCCTTTTTCTTTTCGACATAACATAATAAACTTACTTTTTCAATTCGATTTTGTTGACTGAAAAATTCATCGGAATGTTTTAAACTGACTAATTTCCGCTTATGTTCATATCGATTACCAATATTGTGTCTGGTATTTAAACACATTGATGAATGTAGCCGTCCTGTAGTAAGTAAAGAATTTCTGCAAGAATTCAAATCATTATTATTAATTTGTGTATTATACAATGAACGTTTATAATTTCCGCTTAAAATATGATCCATTTGTTTTAATTCAAATTCAAGATTGAAATTATTTCTTTCAATTGAATTTGTCAATGATTCCAATGTTTCAATAAGATATTCCGTTTGTTTAAATGAAAGTGATTGTTGTTGGTGTTGGTGGTGTTGGTGTTGGCGTTTTTTAAGTTTCTTTTTTCGTACAATGGTTGTATTTTCATCGGGTTTTGTTTCATTCAACAATTTCAAGTGTTGTTGGTGTTGTTGCTGTTCTGGTATACTTCTTGGATATGTTGTTGACAGTTGGTGGTGTTGATGATGATCATGATCATGATTACATGAAGAGTTCAATGGTTTTGGCATAGAAAGATCCAATATGGTTGAATGTTTCCGGTCATCGGCTAATGGTGATTCATTAGGGACGGTTGGCAGAACTGGATTACGATAATACACTGTCCATTGATCCCCGTAATCATCATCATAAGTTTTAATAAATGTAGTCGGTTGATCATCATGCAATGACAGTGGGATGGGATTAGTAGTAATAGTAGTAGTACAAGGTAGTGGTTGTGTTGAATTTATTGAATTCTTAATATTGTTTGATTGAATATTGAAAGATTGATTTGATTTGATTTTACAATCTGATGTCTAAAAATGAAACATATAAAAAAAATTTAAACTTTGGATTTGTTTAGAAAAAGTTATTATAAGTATTAATTATGAGATTAGAAATGTTCATGATAATGTGGTGAAGATTGTTAAGTTTCATTGATCAACGCTAGACCTGAGAGTACTAAAACTCAACAACTTCCACAATCCTACAATCATAATTCTCATGTACTTACTTACTAGTGACGAGCTACTTTGTGAGGAAATTTTCTGAGTTCTAGTGACAAGTTGTTTACTAGTGTTGGATGTGAAACAGTTACCTTATGAAGACACTGGATAAAGTCACGAACTACTGTGGATTGATGGAAGTTACACATGAAAGTCATTGAATGATAACTCAGAAGGTCTACAGTTTAAAGCAAACGCGTGCGAGACTGAAGGTCCTAGGTCCGATTCCTGGGAGCAGAAGTCGAGGATGGGAACTACTAGTGAGTTCTGTCTGAATCATATTACTATCAACAACAAACCAGATTCATTCAGCTGAGAAAGAACTTAAGAAAAAGTGTTGCAGGTGAGGCTAGGATATACATTGAAGAAATCACATGACTGCATCACAAGTCAAGTCCTCATTTGAGATACTCAAAGCTAAAAAGCCGAACGGGTGTGGTGCGCGCTACTTATAAGTAGTATATGACGTGAGTGTAAACGTAATGTCTGGCAGCAGAAGATGGGGGAAGATCAAGAAAGGAAGAGTTGGAACAAAATGGAATTTGTATGAAATGCATGAATAAGTGAAATGTCAGACAATGGATTGATGATTGATTGAAGATGTGCAAATTAACCGTTTACGATATGGTTTTCCTATTTTACTGAGTAACAATTCGGTCGCCCTCACCTGTGTTCTCCTTCACTACACGGGAAGACCAAAGAACACACACAATGCACCCAAAAATTGGAAACATATATGAAATATAATGAACAGCATTTGGAATCGAACTGGAAAAGATGTTTTAAGACAAAGTAGGTTGGATAATACACTAGTCAGTGGCCTTTTTGAGGGAGTAAACTGGTGTGAGTAAGTAAATAATAAGTGATTCAGAAAGTGAGTGCTTCGGAGATTTTCTTTAAAGAGTTCAATTTTCATCATGCAATGAATTATTGACACTTTGAAATGATTGAAAAATTGATTGACAATAAAACAAAAAATAAACGCGGTTTTCCTGTACATTTTCAACATAGAGAAAGAAGGACACAAGGAGAGAGATAGAGCAATGGAATCTTTACAAATTACCGACTAATATTAGGATTGCTGTTCAGAAAAATTCCAGCCACATTTAAAATACAAGTACTATGAATCACGAATACTATTTTATTTTCGCTTTGTCCGGTAAATTCTTATCCAATTCTATAAATAATTATCTAAATTAAACTTTGTAAATGAATGATGATAAAAGTATTTTGCATTACGGGATAGTGAAGATTGTTAAGTTACACATTTTTTTTGAAACCATGAATCGATCGATGTTAGACCACCATTAGAAACCTGGAAGCACTGAAACACGGCCGTTTCGTCCTGGTATGGGACTCCTCAGCGGTGCGCATCCACGACTCCTGCACCCCACAGGATTCGAAACCAGGACCTTCGGTATTGTAAGCGAACACCCTAACTATTAGACCACTGAGCCGGTATTCAACGGCCTCATAAACAGTCTTCGGTAGACACTGCCTACACCCGAACAGATTGAACTTCGCTGGTCACGTCTTCCCACTAGAACTCGGAGAAGATTCCTCACGAAGCTAGTCACTAGTGAACACAGGTAATTTGCATTACGGGGTTGTGAAGATTTTCTAACGGTTAGGGCGTTCGCGCACAATACCGTAGGTCCTGTTTTCGAATCCTGTGGGGTGCAGGAGTCGTGGATGCGCACTGCTGAGGAGTCCCATACCAGGACGAAAAAGCCGTCTTTCAGTGCTTCCAGGTTTCTTCTAATGGTGGTCTAACATCGATCGAGTCATGGTTTCAAAAATGGATAAAAGTATTGTCTTGTGGCGACGTTTCATTCTGTGATATTGGATATTTTGAGTTGTGGAAATTTCATTGTTCTTCTGAATAAATAACATTATCAGAATAAACTTCACAACCAAAACATTTAGCTTAGAGAATGAAAATCCATCACAATCATTCGTTTGAGTTAGAAATTTTCTTCATTATCTCAAAATATGGTTTTATTTTTAAATAAAAATCTTATCAACACAATTGAATCCAAGTTTGTTTTGTCAATACCTATATTTCATTAAAGTATTCAGTTCTCAGAATATTACTTACTTACTTACTTACTCCTAATGTAGCATAGGCTGCCTACCAGCACCATCTAACCTACTCTGTCCTGAAGCCATATTGCAGTAACCCAAGATCTCCAGTCAACTTGAATGGAAAATTGATATAAGTCATTCGAGTCTAAAGTGAAGGGAGAGCAGCACGGCCGGATAAGCTGAAAATCGTTTGCAATGGCGCAGGTGCATTCATTCATTGTGTTCTGTAAAACTCTAATCTCCTAAATTCCTCATCACATTCATCTTTCTCTTTTTTTAAGTTTATTTCAGTCGAATATACTTCTTGAATAATATCTTTGATTCCATATCTTCTCCATTACTGCTAATACTTCTACTATCTCTACCACTATGAGATTTGAACTGACAAATTCGTCTCTTTGCTAATGTGGTATGGCAACCTGAACTGATGTACATACGTACGAAGTTCTACGTTATGACTGACTAACTAACTAACTATCCTGGAGCCCTTCTACGATTACTACTGCCAGTAACAAGCACAGATAAAAGAAAAGTGTCGAGCGTGGGAGTTAGCGACCCCGTCCTATAAAAAATCAGCGTCTTGTGATGTAAACCGAATTTCTTCCAAAAGTCACCTGACTGATGCCTCCCTCATCTGACAACCAGATTCACCATTAATAATAATACAGGTACATGTAATGTCCTTACATTCTAAGAGACTGTAAAAAAACTGATCACACTCAACGAATAATCACTTGTAATTATCAGTTGTTGTTGTTTCGATTACAAATGTTTGGCGGCAAAAAAAAACCTGAATTAAAAATGTCAATAAGGCATGATATTGTTGTTTGTGACACAGCAAAACGGTCTACCATCTTAAAGTGGTTCGTTTTTTTGCTCTCTCCTTTCGATAAATGATTAATGTTTAAAAGAGAAGAAAACTCCAGTATTCTGTGTGTGTGTGTGTGTATATATAAACGTAACTAGTCATGTTACATGTTGGTTTTTCTTGCAATCAAATCGGTACGATTCAATTTGGGAAAAAAATCAATTAAAAATAGAAGAACACACATTAAAAACGATGCTGTAGTTTTTCTTTGTTGGTTAAAACAAGAAAATAACAATACGTTGTGTAATACAGTTTTGGTAGCTTGTCAAAATGTAAAAAAATTTAATGTATGATTAGGAGAATGCATGAACAAGTAACTACTTTAAAAGTTATATGACAAGAACGACTATATATATACATAGGTGTATATATCATCTGATAAAGCTTTTAGTGATTCGTAAAAGTTGACATTCACATTTTAAAAGTTATACATATACTCGAGAATGAAATTGTTGCTATGAATTTTTATTCAATGACAAATACCATGCGGTACTTATTATTGCCTAACTACAGATTATTTTGATGAGCAAATTGTGTTTAATGAAGAGATAGGCTAGAAGAAAGCTAGGCTAAGCCAAAATGAAACATGGAACAGATAGATCTATGACAACTGGACTGAGCCATTTTAAGTAGGTGTAAGCCAATTATTATTATTAACACCTAGCAAGCACAATGAATTAAATCACACAAATAGAGTCTATTTATACATCATAGAGACGTCCTTAGGAGAGCCATAAAAATAGCACACTAAAATAACACAGTAACCAATCACAGCCAAGGGTTTTCCTGGTGGGAAACGCGATCTCAAGGTCAGCCGATCAGCCCATGCTCGGAAACGTATAATCCAAGATCAATGTATTTATCAAGCGAGTTCTGGGGATCTGCGTCCCCAACACATTCGAATCCTAATGTGAAACAACCTCTACTAATATAGATTTGAATAGACAATTCGATATTTTTGTCTAAATGTGTTCAATCAGTCAGTCAGCTAACACGTTGAACTTTGTACATACATGGATCAATTCCATTTTCTATACCAAATTGGCATAGATGGAGATGGAATTATCAGTTCAAATCCCAAAGTAGTAGGGGTTCTAGAAGTATCAGAGTAATGGAGAAGATTAGGGTTCGAAGATTTCGGTCAAAAAGATACAAGAAAACGTCCTGAGCCCATGAGGTCATGAGAGACGATATAGAATGAATGCGCCTGCATCAGTGTAAACGATTTTAAGCTATACTATTCAAAGTCTCTAACTATCGCTTTCATTGCTCTTCTGAACAACATCAGCATCAGCACAAACTTCAGATAGCAGAAGTGAAGTATTCGAATTTCTTCACATCTGACCTGTAGCTTGTTCTAACCATAACCTCGATTTTGATTGGTCCCTGTTGACCTTATTAAACCTATCGTTGTTGTCTCTCGGACCTCAACTAGGTAGACAATAGTGCTAATGTGATATGGCGACTTGAACTAATGTACGTATATCGATGTGTCTACATTGCAACCGATTGACTGAAATATACTGTTTCCTGATTGCTCTGTGCACAGAAATTCTTAGTGTTTTTATATGTATGCTGTTAAGTTAATTGTAATTTGATTGAAATCACGAAGTAATCAATATTAAACGACCATTAAAAACCTGGAAGCGATGGACAATTATTTTATTCCAGTATGGTACTTATCAGAGGTAGAAAAATTCTTAGAGCTCTAGTAAGAATTCATGACCATTGGAGTCAACTTATCCATCTAACACAGTGGATTGATTGAAGTTAGTTGTTAACACTGTTAGATATCAGTTTAGTGGTCAAGAAGCCAAGCTTCAAATGAGACTAAAGGTGCTGCTTGAAGGATCGTAGA